TTTTTGAGAGTGATCTGTGTTGCTGAACAAATGGCTCGTTCATTTCTTCTTATTGTATAACAGCTTCCCTCCTATGGACAAATCAATTAGTTTATTTATTAATTTTTCTTTGAAAAAATTAAGGTTGTAGCAACTGCAGAGATGCATGATTATAATAGTAATCGAATGTTTACATATTTCCAGGGAATCACCAAACACTGCTGAGCCTTTTGAATTTTCCATCAGCAGTGTTTCCCTTCTACATGTTTTGCATCTCTTATCAGTTATTAGGATTTTCGTTGCTTAATATTTTCAGATTTTTCATGTCTTTCTGGGAAAAAAAATGTGTCACACTGTAATTTCCATGTGGATTTTCCTAGAACTAATGGTGTTGATAGCTATAGTTCCTCATCAGTTGATTGGCTGACCAGGGCCTGTGTTTGATCATCAGCACAGAAAGGTATGGAAGGAAGTGGGAAAGGAGAGGAGGGTGCTTCTTAGGGATTAATTTTGTGTGATGTGAAGTATACACCATGGTCAGCAGTGTATTTGTTGTTGTCATTCTGGAATATCAGAAAAGAAAGCTGATGTTCCTAAAGCTTCTTTGTGTCATTTCCATTTGCCTTGCTAGTTTACATCACTAAGTAGCTAAAAGAACTAAGAAAGATACCTTGGAAGCCATGTCTTAAAATTGAGTAAGGAATAGCCAGGTATGGTGGTGCATACCATAATCCCAGCAGATTGGAGACAGAGAGGCAGGTGGATCTCTTGAGTTTGAAGACAGCATGGTCTACATATCGACAGCCCAAGATAGCCTGGGCCACATAGAGAAATTCCGTCTTCAAAATAAACAAACAAACCAAAAAAATTAGTAAAGAATAAAAATTTGAAATACCCAAATCTCAATTATTTCTCTTTTAACCTTATAAATTTTATCACAGCAGATTATAGGGGCAAGACTTCTCTCTCTCTCTCTCTCTCTCTCTCTCTCTGCAGAGTTTCTCTGTGTTTTAGAATGATTTGTTTCCATATTAGAACATTTCACTTGGTAGCTTTTTATGTATGTATTATCACTTTTATTTGCTGTACAATCTGAAGCTATTTATTACTAAACAGCCAATGTTTAATTGAAGGTTTGCTTACCATGTTTCTCATTGATCTTCAAGGCCTCTCGCCTTCCTTATAATGTACTTGTTTTCTTCAACAGCAAAGAGGGTGAATATATAACTATGTTAATTGTCCAGGAATTATTTATAAAGAACTTAGTGATGTTAGAGTGGAAAGCATTACCTAGAACTTAAGTTCTACATACACTGTCAAACAAGCATTAAAAGTCCTTTAGATAGAAGGTAGGATATGGGTCTCATTGCCTTTAATCTTAGCACTGGGAGACAGAGCCAAATAGATCTCTGAGTTCCAACCTAGCCAGGACTACACAGTGAGACCTTATTTCAAACATCAACAATCCACAAAAACTACTTTAGAAGGAATTGATTTTTTTTTTTACCTAATTTTACTCTTTAAGAAATTCTGAGTTGAGCCCAGTGACATAAACCAAAATGTTTTTACATAAAAGTTTTAAATGTATCTATAATGAAATCATAGAACACAGAAATAGTTCTATACAAGATGCACCATAACTGTTAATGTTTTTCTTCATAGATATTTTCCATTAATTTTAATTAAAACATTCTAGTTATGTTGTATGAAGTATTCTTGTAATTATATTGAATGATAAATATTAATCATCCCAAACCCATCCCAACCTTGGTTGTTGTTGTTTTGTTTTGTTTTCTCATTTTTCAAGGCAGGGTTTCTCTGTGGTTTTGGAGGCTGTCCTAGAACTAGCTCTTGTAGACCAGGCTGGTCTCAAACTCACAGAGATCTGCCTGCCTCTGCCTCCCGAGTCCATCGGTTGATGATGTTTTCTAATACAAGGTCTTCCTTATGTATCCTTGGCTGGCCTGGAATTCAGAGATCTCCCTGACACTGCCTCCTGAATGCTGTGATCAAGGGATGCCCCAATATGCCCAACCTCTTTTTATATATTTGCTTAATATGGACTGCCACTGTCTATAAGTCATAGTTTCATACAGTGTCATAGTTCTGTCTTGTAATAATACATCAGGTACATAGCTATAGTTATATAGTATATATTTTATTCTCCTTACTCATTTCTTGGATTTGGGGTATTCATGGGTTTTTGTTTTTTTTTTTTAATATTCCTTATTGCATATCATGGTAGGATAAGCAGGCTTTTAAATGGAAATTTTTATGTTTCAAAATTTTCTCTGGGATAATGCCCAGAAATAGAGTTTTATAATGATGAGGTGTGTGTATGTGCGTGTGTGTGTATGTGTATGAGAGACGGGGAGGGAGACAGAGAGATTGATTGATTGATTTCCGGTGCATATTGTCAAATTGCTTTCTGAGAGATTTCTGTCATTTGTCAAAGTTTTCCATCTGTTAATGCTGAGTATAATTCATACATTCAACTAATTGTTTTCTGGAGAAATCTCTTTATATGTACTGGATTACTAACAAGAGGGATTCATTATTTTTCAACATTTATCATTTTCTTTCATTTCTTTTATTTGTATTTTTATCTGGCTCTTAATGATTTTTGTTTATTTGTAATAAAGGTAGACTTGATCAATATTAAAATTTCTTAATTTTTATTAATACTAGACTTTAATTTGTTTTTATTTTATGTATGAAAACATCCTTTTTATATATTCCAGATTATTCATTCTATGTACCTCTGTTTTCTGTGAATATTGAATTATAGTTTTAGATTCTTCCCCCATCCCCTCTGTCACACAAAATATACTTTCCATTGTCTTTTAATGCATTTTGATTCAAGAGGAATACAAATACCAAGTAACAATGAGGATGTGTCCACAAAACTTATTCATGCATCCATAGTAAGAAAAAGAGCTAGAAGCAATTCAAGTATCCATGGACAGATACACTCACAAATAAATGTGGTATAATAAATACCTACTACAGATATAAGCCTTATTCTAGTCAGTGTTCTATTGCTATGAAGAGAAGCCATTACCACGACAACTCTTATAAAGAAAACCATTTAATTGGGTCTGGCTTATTGTTTCTGAGGTTTAGTCTATTATTGGCATGACATGGAACATGGCAGCTCAGAGGCAGATGTGTTGCTGGAGAAGATGAGAGTGAGAAGATGAGAGTTCTAAATCCAGATCTGCAAACAGCTCAAAGAGAGGGAGAGCCATTAGGCCTGACTTGGGCTTTTGAAACTTCAAAACCCTCGCCCAGTAACCCTTCCTCCAACAAGGCCACACTGGCCTCAACAAGTCCACACCTCCTAATTCTTTTAAATAGTGGTACTCCCTAAGTATTCAAATTAATGCACCAATGGTGGCCATTCTTACTCAAACCACCAAAAGCCTTGAAAGTATTTTTTGTGAAAGAGTCTAATTGCCAAAACCCATATATTATATAATTTCGTTTGTATGCAGTGTCCAGAATGGGAAAAAAAAGATAAAATATACATTAGTAGTTGTTTAAGGTGGGATGTGAGGTGATGGAGAGATTTGGTTTTGAAGAATATTGACTTTCTGTTGTCAAGGTGATTGTGGTGACAGTTGCACAAACATGAAACAATTGTATGGTACATTTTAATGGAGTGAATTGTTTGGCTTGTGGATATATATGTGTGTAATACACTCACAATGTTTGTGTTGTTCATTTGTTTATTTTCTATGCAGTGCTATTGGTTGACCTCAGGATATCAAATATGCCTGGCAAGCTATCTGCCACTGAGTTGTATTCCCAGCCTTTTTTTTTTTTTTTTTTTTTTTATCTTAAAGCTGCTAGGAGAAAAGATGAAAGGCCCGAGAGAGTGGAAGAGGAAAATAGGAAGATTGAGAGACAGAAAGAAGTAGAGATCACCAATTAAGTACATTACTTAGTCCTGGGTGGTCTACGAATCTTTACATTGTTCTTAGAAGATCTTTTGCATGACAGACCAATTTAAATTTAATCCTGAGCTCAAGGTGGAAAAGTTTTACAAATACACCATTTAAAATCCATAGTTCACTGTCTTCCATTACTACTTATCTAACTTTATTACATTTGAATTTTGTAAACTATAAAGTGTTATTTTGTTGCACCTTTGAAATTCTGTTCTAATTTTCATGAATTTTTTTTTTGTTTTTTTTTTTTGTTGTTGTTGTTTTTCGAGACAGGGTTTTTTTGTGTAGACTTGGAGCCTATCCTGGCACTTGCACTGTAGACTAGGCTGGCCTCGAACTCACAAAGATCCGCCTACCTCTGCCTCCTGAGTGCTGGGATTTAAGGTGTACACCACCAACGCCCGGCAATTTTCAAGAATTTTAATCCTATCTAAAACATAATTTTTGAAATTCAGAAAGACATGAAATGAGAAGTGAACACATGCTTCCTCATCTGTTTTGAATTTTAAAGTTAAAATTTTTAGGTCTTTCATAATGATTTCCAGGATGTTTTTTTGTATGTTTGTTTTTTATTCTGTAGAAAACCCTTGTGTGAAGAAGGGGAAAATCTTCATTTTTAAGTTTTATATAATTCTCAAATTAAAACTCTGTTGGCTTTTTGGGTTATGTTTTGTTCTGACTTTTGAGACAGGGTCTCCTATAGCTCAGGCTGCCCTTGAGCTTGCTCTGTTACCAGAGTAACTTTAGATTTCTGACTTCCTGCCTTTATCTCTTGGGATAACAGCCTTCTAGCTTCCCATCCAGCAGGATTCTGGCTTTGAATAGCCACTTTGCCATATGTGACCTTCATTTGTCAAATCTTTTATTTTGCTGTCTATGTAGTATAATGACTTAGTTCACAGTATATATTTTAGATTCTTAATGTTATGTATTTACAGAAGAAATTTAATTCATTTTTTGAATGCAAATAGATGATTTTGGGATTGCACTAATTATATTTTAATTAGAAGAACTTGTAGTCTGTGAAAACTGACATATGCTAACTTAACTTCTCCTGTGGTTTCCTTGTAGGTTTGATGAACTTGTAAGAAAATTCAAAGTTGAATATCATGCTGGTGGCTCTACCCAGAATTCAATTAAAGTGGCTCAGGTTGGTTAATTATATTAAAAATTAAAATTAAAATGTTTCAAAATTACTCTAAACTTTTGATTATTTTACATAGTTTTTTCCAATTTACTTTTAATGTTACAAAACAGTTTTGTTCATTTACGCTTGAGTCTTTAACAATGAATCTAATAAAAATAACTTTAGTTGTCTTTCTTTGATAAGCTTAGAAAAAATTCAGTGTATTTATTCATCACTATAATTTTTATTGGTTTGTAGAACTTATTTCATCAATAGCCATAATTTTTATTTTAAAAGTGAAATGTTTTTCTTGTTTGTTAATTGTATCTAATATTGCTTATAATGTCAACTCCTTTGCTAAATTTGTTCCTTTATCCTTCAGTTGCTCAATTTCCCCTTCTCTTATCTGAAGGCAGGGTTTACCTGTATAGACTTGGCTGGCCTAGAGCTCACTATGTGAGGTCTAGGTCAGCCTCAAACTTCTGGCAATTTTCTTTCCTTTGTCTGTAGAGCACTAGGATTACAAGTTAATACATTTAGAAAATTTTCTTTTTATAAAGGTTATTGCCTGCACCTGTAATTTCAGATATTTTGAAGGCTGATTTGGGAGGATCATGACGGAAAAAATAAGCATCATAGTTTCAGCAAAACTGAAGTCCTAACATTACCAAAAAGGAGCCTTAGGTGACTGTGATGTTTTCATGGCAGCTCACACATAACTGGATTTGGGAGGGAAACCAGCAAAATAGGGGGACGGTATAACAAAAGGAACTGCAGATTAGACAAGGTACCAGAAGGGTTGTGAAAGCAAATGTGCAGAATGAATGACAGGTACTTCTCAGTCAATGAATGCTTATTCAAAATAGTGAGTTAGCTTAATTATTCTATAGGCATTACCAACCTAACATCACATTCACCAACCACAAGTCTTAACTCTAATGGTCCATGGGATAACCTAGGGAATGTTTCTTCAGACAAGCTCTGCTCTGTAAAGCCTCAGGTACGTGGGTCTTCCCTGTCAGATGCCAGAAAGATGGAAGGCTTCTCAACAATGAATATGTTAACTTGCTTACAGTTCTATCATACTTTTATACTTCAAGTGATGGGACAGATCATGTCAAGAAAATGTTCCTAAAGCACTTATGTACTTTGATTTATCTAACCACATTTTAATGAAGCCACAATCATATACAAACCCATATTTGTTGATGTCCTGTTCAAATATACATCTAGATTCATGTATATTTGACAGATAATACAAATACAAACTTGGGTAGTTTTCACACACTTCTTTGTTTCTGTACATTTGTTTGTTTTTGGACACAAGGTCTGGCTCTGCAGCCCCAGCTGGCCTGGAACTCAAAAAAATCTACATGCCTCTACTTTGTAAATACTGTTTAAAGGTATACACCACCCCAGCCAGATAAAAGTTTTATTTCATTTCAGATGTCTATGTGCACCTTCCCCTGCCCCCCAACCCACCCAGTGTGGGTTCTGGGAACCAAACTCAGAAGAGTAGTTACTGCAGAGCCAACGCTCCAGCCCCCTCCTACACTTTTTATTTATCAAAAAGCAGCATTCTGTGTCTCTACCCTCCTTGCATAGAACATGTTTGTGAAAAGGAATTGTGATTTTTTCTTACCTGTTATGTTAATGCTTCCATAAAAATATTTTCATCTACCAAAATTAACCACTCAGTTACCCAGATCACCCGATTTCAGTGTGTAATTTTTTTAATTTGCCAGTTTTTTAATATAATGAAGATAAATCGAACATTAAATGTATGTATTTCCATTCACCTTTCAGCTTTTTCAAATGACATTTAGTACAATTTTCGAGTTGAAAGACACAGGAGAATGGTCTTCATGGATATGACCCGAAAAGAGTGCCTTTGGCTCAGTGAATAATAGGACAGTGTTTGTCTCTCATGTGTAAGGCCCTGGGCTCAATCCCAGCTCCAAAAAGATTACCAAAAAAAAAAAAGAAAAAAAGAAAAGAAAATCCCTGGTTATGGACCTAGAAATACCAGCTCTTAAATATTATAAAAATTCAGAGTCTGAAGCAGAATGACTGCAAATTTAAGGCCAGCCAGCATGGACTATACATACATCAAGACCTTATGTCAATAGAGTTAATAATTTGAGAACAAAAAACGTGTCTGTTGACAATACACTAAGCATTAGAAAGAAGAGAACCATGTTGTATCAGAAATTTGCATACAGGTTTTCCAAAAGTGTTTGGTGGTATTTGAGCAGGCTATAAAGAAGCTGGCAGAAACTCATACAACAAAAATATTGGCTTCATTTTTATGTAATAAAAGTGCTTCAAACCTATGGATTAAAAATTTTTTTCCAGGAAAGTGCACTGAAATTCAATAGAATTTTATTAGCTCCTTAACTAAAACTTTGTTTCAATTCTTGTTTTGACACCATAAATCCTGATTAACTCTGTGCTTTTAAAAAAAATATTTATTTTTTGAGAATGAAATTTTAGCTTAGACAGCCGGCAGTATACTTCAGAGTGTTCTAAATTGATAGACATTTTAGTCATAGGTAATTCATTTTAAAATTTTACCTGTCTATATTATAATAATGGATTTGATTATGGCATTTCTTACCTGCATGTAGTGTAATTTCATCACTGTCACCCTTCATTATCCTATTTTCCCTGCCCTCACTGATTTACTTTATCTTCCATACTAATTCCTTCATGTCTTCCCCCCACCACCACCATGTAGGGTCCACCCATTTTGAACCTTTCCCTCTTCCACAGTGGAATCTTGACAGGCTAGTTCATGTTCATATATTCTGCAGGTCATCACAGCTGTTGTTGAGTCCATGCATGGAACTGCTGTCTCTAGCCTCCACTTCTTCCTCTTTCTGCGGTGTTCCTGAAGAGAGCTTTGGGGAGCTAGGGAATGTAGATGTCTCATTTTGTGAGCATTCAGCTGTCATTTATGCCCAACACTTGAAACAGTCTCTACAGTAACTGCTACATGCAGGCCTGAATAAATTCTATATGATAGATCTGTAAATGCAAACAACATGACTGCTAAACACAAGGATTAATGAAACATATATAATATAATTTAGACACAAAGTATATATTCTATGCCCTGAGTTCTAAATGTGCAGAATCTCTTAGTAGGATTTTTTTCCTAGAAAATATTTTTTTCCATAGAGGTACAAATTACTCTCTCTAGTATATCTGCGGACTAATAAAATAAAATCTTAAATAATCATCCATCACCTTTTTTTAATAGAGTGTATTTTGTTTATTGTCATAATACACTGACACTAAAATCTCTAACTGCAGTTACACTCTTAACATTTTCAATGATATATTTTAAGGATGTATAATATGGTGTATAAAATTTATATATCAAGGGCTGGAGAGATGGCTCAGCAGTTAAGAGCACTGGCTGCTCTTCCAGAGGTCCTGAGTTCAATTTCCAGCAACCACATGGTGGCTCACAACCATCCATTATGAGATCTGGTGCCCTCTTCTGGTGTGCAGATATACATGGAAGCAGAATGTTGTATACATAATAAATAAATAAAATCTTTTAAAAAATTGTATATCAAATTGTTAAATGATATAAAGTAAGTAGCTGTATGTATTTTAATAAAAGAAGCATTATAAACATTGTAATATTTTCTCACATTTGTTTGATTTATGGCATTATTACTTATTGACACTACTAACTGGTCCTATTTTTGTCTTATTAATAGTAGCATTCAGGTAACAAAGAAGTCAATATCAAATGATGTATTTATAATTATGTATTGCTAGGGCTGTCATAACAGCATAACAGAGGCAAGGTGGCTTAAGCAGTGGTGATTTCTTTTTTTTTTTTTAAATTTATTTATTAGTTCAAGTTAGGGAAAAAGCTTGTTTCACATGTCAATTTCCTTTTGC